GACTGGATGATCTGAAAGGTCTTTTCCAACCTAAACGATTCTATGATTCTATGATTGATTCTACCAAAGTGGTTGTGGGGTGGGAGAAAACGTGTCTTTGGTGTTGACTGCTGGAGGAGGACCTCTCTTTGCCCAGAGTTTTGGATCAGGGGACACGTGCGCTTCGGGGTGCCACCTTGCCAAAGGCAAGCTCCAAAGGGGAAGGTCCTTCTGAAAATCATCTTCTTTGGGGTTGTCGGGTCCTCCTGGGTCACCGTTTCGATGCCGGGTGGGCTGCAGGACTCCTTGCCCTGCGCCTGACTTGGGGAGAAAACAAAAATAAATAGGAAGAAAAAAAAAAAGCAGAAGAAAAGCTTAATGGGGAGCTTCATACCCACATTACAGGCAGGGATAATACATCTTGGTGTAGCTATCATCTCTGCCACTGTCCTCGGCGCTGCCTGGGAGAGGCTGGCGCTGGCCCAGGGCAGGGCTGGCAGCGGAGGGTGGCTCCAAGAGACGAATGGGCTTCAAGTGTTTACATTCCTTATAGCAAACCTGCCTTCTAAACCCGCCTACGGCCCTTAGAGCTGTAAACCAAAGCGCAGGAGCCACCCCTGCCCTGGGATGGGTGGTGAGCAAGCCCCGCCCCCCCCCGGCCAAAAAAAACACCAGCGGGTTTTTGGAGGATGCTCCGCAGCGTGCGCGCTACCTGCGCCCTTTCCTGGCCGTCGAGCTCTGGTCAGACGCTGCAGGATGCACGCTGCAAGGATGCGGAGAGCATCATTTCAGAGAGGTTTTTCACATGAGCCCGTGAGTGAAGTTTTGTTGGCTGCCTCTGTTGCCAGTTGAATTATCTCCTGCCAGTCCCCTTTGCCAGGGAATTTAGGTTTGTGGCATCGAAGCGTTTTTTTAAACAAAAAAAAAAAAAAAAAAAAAAAAAAAAAAAAAAGAAAAAGAAAAAAAACCCCAACAACCAATAAAACAACAACTCAGTGGATGCAAAATTGAATAGTAAATTTAAAAAGAAAAAAAAAAAGCGGGGTGCTGGGAAAATTACAGGTCTGTAAATGAGATGGAGGAGGAAATGGCCGGCGGTGGAGAGGTGGGGAAGAGCTAGCCAGAGAGAGAGAAATTAGCCTGGAGTTTAATTCATTGTTTCCAAAAGAGCAGTTAATGGATTATGACAAATGTCCTACCGCTCTCCCTTAGTGCTGTGTTAAATGGAAATGGAAAGTCAATTTTCCTAAATGGATTTTAAACGACTGACCTCGTGTGGGTTTTTTTTTTCCCTCACTGATTTTTGCTCGGGAGGCAGCTTGGTCATCTTGTTTTCTTGATGCATCTGATTATTTTTTTCTTCTTCTTCTCCTTACATCTCAGGATTCTCTGATCCTTTCCATGCAACGCTGCTCTTTGCCAAGGGTGACGAAGGGAGTGGGCTCCTTTCTTCCTTGCCAGCTCTGGAGATGTTATCGCAGGGCTGGGGATATTTACTGTTTTCCTGCACACTGCAGTGCCTGGAGTTGAGAATCACAGCTCCCGCTGGGGGAAGAGAGGAGGAGGAAAAGCTCATAACTCTTTTAGGTGTAAAAAAAAAAAAACACCAAAACTAAAACCCTCGTGATGTGACCTGACTGCTAGCGAGATGCCCAGAAACAACAGGTTAAGCAGTAGCATCCCACTGCGTGTATGTGTTTTATCAGTCCTGCGATATTTGGGTTTGATCTTCATGGGAAGAATGGTTGGAAACGGGTTTCCTGTGTTGGACGCTGCAGATGCTCCTCAGCATCATTGGTCACAGCATCTTCTCAAGCCGGTGCTGGGCATGAGCCACTGCCAGGCTCCTGCTACTCACGGGGGTCTCGGGGATTACGTCCTGGGTGCTTACCCATTTTCAAGACTTTTCTTGGCCTGGCCTGAGCAGATGTGACCCTTTCTTCTGTTTCTTTTTGCAATGAACTTGGTTTTGAGAGCAAACAAGCAGGAAGGTGGGAGATCAGCAGGGCACTGACCCCCTCTGGTTTCTGGGGTGGGATAGTGTGAATCCTGATTGCATTTTTGGGTGATGTTCTCCGGAGGTGGCTGGGCTGGAAGCGATCGCTTGCCTGTGATGGGCAGACAGCCGGTCCCCGGGGGCTGCGCTGGCAGGGGCTGCCAGTGCCCCCCAAGCCCTCGTGTGATGCTGAGATCCCCACGCTGGAGCGTGAGCACTGGCAGGGGGGTGGGATCCCAAATGTGGCTCCACCAAAGAGCGGGATGTGTGTGATTTGTGCCGTGGTTGTGCTCAGCGTTCCCAGCACAAGCCCTGCCAGTGTTTTGCTCAGAGCATGTCCATGCATTCCTCAGGGCTGTGGAAGGGAGACTTGGGGTGGGGGACACCAGCCCCTCTGGAGCCTCTCTGTGTCCTCATCACCATCCCTGGACCTGCGGTTTTTTTTCTTTTTTCCTGGTGGTTTCCTCCAGTGAGATCACCCAGGCTTTGGGGTCGGCCAGCGCTCGGGGTATGGATGAGTGGGCTGGTACCCAGGCAAAACCGGGATGCACCCCGCAGCAGCAGCTCTCTAGTTAGCAGAGATCTGCTTTTCTGGTTTTTTGGGACCCTCCAGCCCTCTTTGTTTTCTGAGCATTCTCATCAGGGGCTGCTGGTGACCCCACCGTGCATGGGGCAGTCCTGGGAAGGAGAGGGCGGGCTGAAGCACTTCAGGCAGGCGTTATGTCCCTGTTGGGATGGGACTAACGGCACCTCCCGACCCTCTCGCTCCCCTGGCAGGGCTGGAGTACAGCGACGTGCTGCCCGACTCCTTCCCCTCGGCCCCGGCGGAGACCCTCCCTCACTTTCTGCTGGAGCCGCAGGATGCCTACATCGTGAAGAACAAGCCGGTGGAGCTCGTCTGCCGCGCCAACCCTGCCACCCAGATCTACTTCAAGTGCAACGGGGAGTGGGTCAACCAGAACGACCACGTCACCAAGGAGAGCCTGGACGAGGTCACTGGTGAGCAAACCCACCCCGGCATCCCCCTGCTTGCCCTTACCTTCTCTTCTTTCCAGGAGCTTCTGCCCTCTTCTCTCTTGCACATCCATGCTGGAGATGATTCTCCTCCAGGTAGACCCACAGGTCTCTTCGATTCATTTTTATCATTTCCAGGTGATTGTAATCTCAGGAGGTCACTTTTGTACGTTTTCCACCTCCTCGGTGCATGCACAGCTTGTCTCTCCTTCCATATCATTGGTGAATTTTAGTAGAGGAGCTGCTCCTTTCCACATCATTGGTGAAGGCATGATGATGGTGTGGGTCACCGTACCCCATAGAAGCTTGGGGAAGTCAGCCTGCGTGCTTGCACGCTTACCCTTTTGCTGGATTTGAGGTTGTTAAGTGGGATTTGAAAGGCAGCGTGTTTAAAACTGATTAAAAAAAAGGAAACACCTCCCTACAAAACGCATAATCGACACGTAGGAGTCACTGCCATGAGGGGTGGCAAAGGCCAGCAGCTTACTTAGGTTTGCAAAGGGATTAGATATTTAATAGGTAATGAGAACATTTACAGGTAAGGTTTGAAATGCCTTTTAATGGCAGATGAGCTCTCCCCTGCCTTAGAGGACAAGTCAGCCTCTGGCTGCCTGAAATGGGGGATGAGAAAGTGGTTTAGGCATCTTTGGGGTGTCTTATTCCATGGGATTGGGCTCAGCTTTAGCTCGACTCCCATCTTTTCCGCACCAATTTAGGTACCTGTGGTCTCAGCAGGAGGGGAGAAAAACGATGATGTTTCCCGTGTAAGATCTGTTCTCTGCAAATCCCTGAGCCTGCAGCAGCCCTCATCTCCAGAGGGCATTAAGCCAAGGTAACCTTTTGAACTGCTGCAGTGTTGGACCCAGAGGCAGGCTGGGTTTAGGGGAGAGACTTTGTCAGCCTGGAGCAGCACAAGTAGTTTTACAGAATCTTCTCTTGTCCCTATATTTTTTTTTCCCCAGCCTTGCCCTTCCCTAGCATCTCCTCAGCATCATCCAGTGCTAGCCGTGAGCTGGTCCCTGCTTGGGTGCGTCTCTGAACCCGTTCTGCAAAGGGAAGATCATTTCTTTTCCCTGTGGCTTTCTGAGCCTTTCCTCCTAAAGCTGCTTCACCTGTTCCTGGGGTGTTTTTCTTCCAGAGGATCTCTTTGTGAAGGATGGTCGAAAATGCATGGCAAGGCTGTCCCCTTGGTTTTCCGGAGGCTGTTGGGAGCACTGGCAGCACCGTTTCTCTCTTTCGGGGTGCATCTCCACCTCCCAGCTCTCGCGGAAGCCAGATTTGAAACCCTCGCTGCTCTAGGGCAAAGCCAGTGCTGGTTAGTGACCGAGCAGCCTTTGTCGAAGGGTTATGAATTTATTTATAACCTGTGGCCACGCTGGGTTGAGCCAAAGGTTTGTGCACCCTGCGTGCGGCAGTGGTGGATGCTTAGGGGCAGAGCATTGAACTGGGACAAGGATGGAGCGATGGGCCCCACTCTGGTACCCTCCCAGCTTCCTGCAGTCCGTGATTAGGGAGTCCCTGGTCTGGCGGCGATGTCTTAGCAGTGTGGTCCCGCCCCGGGTGGATTCTTCCTCCATTAATGTCTCTAAATGCTGTTAGGATTCATTTCTCTGGGTTGCCCCAGCATCCTGTAGCAGGGAGTTTCATGGCTTAGCGATGTGCAGCGTGGAAAAAGCACTGTATTTCTGGCTGCACCGCTTGATCCACCTCTTGGGTGAATACCCCTTACTGAAACACCTGCCTCATGCAGCTCTTGAGCAAAACAGGCTGGAGAAAACGTAGTAGAAAGGGAGCAGAAAGTCTGTGCAGTGGGAGCTTACCGTGTTTTCAGGGGGACTCATGCCGTAGCAGGAACTCATTTGCTTTGGGCCAGCATCTCCCTCTCAGATCCCAGCCTGCAGATGCAGAACAAGTGCCAGCAATTTGGGGAGGAAACAGCGCACACCTTCTTCACCCAGGCTTCAAAGATGGTATTGCTGCTCTCAGTGAACAAACCAGTATACCTTCGGTACGGAGGTGATGCCGTGCATGTAAAACTCTGCTGGCATGGGCATATCTGCCCAGCAGCTACCCTGGGAAAGGGAGCTGGAACCAAAGTGGTTTGCTCTGCTAAAAAAAATCTGCATTTACAGTGCCTGCGGTTCATAGGGAAAGCTGCTGCAAAGGGCACCAGGGAGGGCTGGCCACAAAGCGACAGGTTAACACGGTTAGGCATTCACAGCTTTTTAAGTATCCTCGGTTAAAAGCTTGGAAGAAGGGACCTTTAAAAAAAAAAAAAAAAAAAAAGGCAACTTTTAAGATGATGTGTCTTGAATGAGCCGGGCTCAGTAATGCTCTGACTGCATCTGATCCAAAACATTTCATGCGGAAGAAAGCAAAAATAGGCCAAGTCAGAGAGGATAATTCAGCTGGACGAAAAGGGACGGTCGGTAAGAGCGGCTGTGTTTGGATGCCTGTAAGCCCCTTAAATAGTCACTCCTGTGAGCCATAAGCTCAGCCTACACTTTTGCGTGGGCTTTGCTTTTGGGGGTTATGGAGATAGCAGAGCATTTGCAGGATGCTCCCCACCTTTCCAGGGCTGCTCAACCCACCCCACTGGGACTTTCCAGAGAGATGAGATGGTTTTGAGCCGTCTCAGTCCTGGGTCCATCTGAGAGCCCTAATTTTTCCAAAAGTGCTTGGCCCAAATGCCTCTTCTTTTCCCTCCCCCCCCCCTTAATAGTGGCAAAATAAATTGTATTTCCTCGGTGCGCGTTTGTCAGCTATTCCGCAGGAAAGTGGCAGAGAGACGGTAATTGCTCCCCGCAGCGCTGGGAGCAAGCTAACAAAATTACAGCTGGGGAGCCTGCGGCTCTCCATCGCCATGAACTTGAGGCCTTTTCATAAATAGAAGCTGCAAAAAAAGGGCAGGTAGTGCTGAAAATAAGGAAAAGTAAGCCCCGAGTCCCTCCCGCCCTTGGTGATGGGCACGCTGCCAGGGGTTGATGCTTTGGGCGAGCCTCAGCATCCTGCGGTCCAGGGGACCATGTCCTGCACGTGGTGGTGCCACCTTTGTCATCGCACCCCTGCCACGGCCAGGGTGTCCTGGCAGACTTCATGGAGGTGTTGGGGGGTTGGTGGAGGTGTGTTAACCCTTTTTGGGGTCATTGGGCATGAAATGCCATCATCGTTGGATGATTTCCTTAAGATCTTTTGTTTGTCTTGGTAGTGTTGGGTTAATGGTTGGACTGGATGATCTTAAAGGTCTTTTCCAACTTAAACGATGATTCAATGATTCTATGGTTTGTATTTAAATGGCAGCTGAGAGAGGTGGTTTCTCCCCACAGCAAAACCTCGGAGGCATCCTTCAAACCTGGCGGGTGGGAAGGGGTCTGGGCAGGGACGGGGACATGGGTGCTGGGGCAGAGGGCTGGTGGAGGAGGGTGATGCCTCTTGAAATGCTCCTGGTCCTGCCTAGCTGGATGGAGCCGGGGGAAGACTCCTCCACATGAGCCATTGCCCTGACTTCAGCTTCAAGGCACCCTCTGGAGGGAACAGTCTCCGTGATTTGCAGAGGTGCCAAACCTGGATGCTTCTGAGATGCCTCCAACCCACTGCCTCCACCCTCGAGCTTTGTGCATCCAGCAGCCCTCCTCCTGGGTGCTGCCTTATTTTTCCCTCCTCCCGGGTGCTCCTGCCGAGCTGATGCCGTCCCTCTGTCCCCTTCCAGGGATGCTGGTGCGGGAGGTGCAGATCGAGGTCTCCCGGCAGCAGGTGGAGGAGCTTTTCGGCTTAGAAGATTACTGGTGCCAGTGCGTGGCCTGGAGTTCCGCGGGCACCACGAAGAGCCGCAGGGCGTACGTCCGCATAGCCTGTAAGTGCCCGGTACATGTAATGCTTGCTCAGGCGCGACCCCTCCGGCAGCGCTCCCTGCCCCTCTGCAAGAGCTGCGTGCACCTACCTGCACTGCCTCGGTTCTTGTTTCATTTAAAGGAATGCTTCTCCCACTTTCTTTTCCACTTTGAGGGCCCTAAAAGGTTTCAAGAGGGTACGACCCACCAGTTTAGAAATTATTTGCAAAGCCTGAGTTACGACCCTGGATGCCAGGCTGAAAAGCAGTGGTGTCATCCAGGTGTGTGCTGCTTCTGGCAGCAACACCAGCTGAAATAGTGGCCAGGCCATTCATTCCCAGCTTCCCATGATCCCTGAGACACGGTGGGTGCAGCTGAGTGGGGTTGGCCATCTCCAAAAGTTGAAAGCAGTGCTTTTTGATCAGTTGGAGGTGACCCATCCTTGCTGGATGGCCCTGGTCTTAGCTCCCCATCCCAGCTCTGGCTTTGCATCTGAGCGGGCATCGTCCCAACCTGCCTGGGCGAGAGGCCATGGCAGTAGCTGGGTTAATACCGCATTGCCCATCAGCGTGCTCAGCTTTTCCCGGTGCTTTATTATCGTTAATAACCCAACGGTTAGCACCTTGCACGCTTTGCCTGAATCAGCGACTCCGCGTCCCTGGAGTCCCTGCTGTCGTATGTCACTTCTCTAAGCTTCTGTTTGTGGGTGTCAGCCTGATTAAGGGCAAGTTAATCAGGCTGTTACCCGGCTGAATTTGCTCTCTTAGCAAATGAGATGGCAAAGCTATAGGAGAAGGACCAGGCTTCCCTAGTCGTAAACAGATTGTGCTATTAGAGGGCTAATAATCCAGCATGTTATCCAAAACGGAGGGGGCTGGTGGATCAGCTACGCTGCTGAAGGATTTAGTTTGAATGGGGAAAACATTACGAGGCACAGGGCTGGCTACTGAGGGAGCCCTTTTGTCTGGCCCCAGCGAAGGGTTTGGTGGTTCTCAGAGCCGAGCAGATGAGATGAACCGAGGGTTCGCTGCCGTGCACAAGCAGGAGCCGCAGCTGTAGAGGGCTGGGTGCTGTAGCAGAGGGTTGCAGCACCATCTAGTGATGCTCCTGCTCCTTTCAAGGCTCTGGAGCGGGACCCTGCTGTGTCCCCCATGTCCCTGGGGGCTCTGCTGGGCTTCTCCCCTTCCCCAAAGCACTGGCCAGCCCCTTGCTGAGCGAGCCTGGCTTTTCAGCAGTGGCCATTCCCCATTTCGGCACTGGAGTGCAATGTCTGGGTTTCCAGCAAACCTGGGGACCTAGCTCAGCCAGGACCAACTGGGGCAGAGCTGAGCAACAACCCCCCATAGCCCTGAAATTTGGGAATTCGCTTTGGCGCCGATGTGGGAGCCAAGCTGTTGTGCAAATCTTGTTTTCCTCCCCTTCAACAAAGAGGGATCCTGGTATCCCCATTTCGGCACTGGAGTGCAATGTCTGGGTTTCCAGCAAACCTGGGGACCTAGCTCAGCCAGGACCAACTGGGGCAGAGCTGAGCAACAACCCCCCATAGCCCTGAAATTTGGGAATTCGCTTTGGCGCCGATGTGGGAGCCAAGCTGTTGTGCAAATCTTGTTTTCCTCCCCTTCAACAAAGAGGGATCCTGGTATAGATAGCCCAGAGGGAGAAAGAAACGGTGGTTAAGCTGACATTTAGCCCCAAAAGTAAAAGACAGGAGGGGGTATAGGCTTGCAAGCACACAAAGGAGGAAAGGCGTTGTCCTTGAGCGCCATGTGCTGTCCCAAACCCATCCTGGAAAGATGCTTCTTCGTCTCCTTCCTCCCAGGACATGTTTTGCTCCAGCTATGTTATGCCAGAGTGATTTCCCTACTCGTGGGCTCCTGGTGCCACGGTGATGCTCTCTCCCCACCAAGGTTTTGTGGGTTGCCCTGTTTCTGCAGCAGGCTGGTAACCCCTAGGTTTTCCTTCCCCCCTAGACCTGCGGAAGAACTTCGACCAGGAGCCACTGGGCAAGGAAGTCCCACTGGAGCACGAGGTCCTGCTGCAGTGCCGCCCACCCGAGGGGGTGCCGCAGGCGGAGGTGAGCAGCTTGGCAGCCCAAAGAAATGCCTGGTGGGGTGTCCCCTCCCGGCGGTCTGCAGCCGCGGCCGGGGAGAGATGGGGCACGTCCTTGCAGACGGCTTGCAGCCATGATGGATGGCCTCACACCAAGACCATCACCTTTCGTTATTCAGCAGAATTGTTTATTTTGGGCAGTGGATCTGTTATTCTGACATCTAATAACACACGTAACCTCAGCTCCTGCTCAGCCCACCTCCCCCATGCTTCCTGATGTGCCGTTAACCCGTTAGAGGGAAGATCGAACGAGGAGGCACCCAGTGACTTGTCTGAAGGGGAGCAGTCGCAAGCAAGAGCTAAGGGCTGGGAAAGTCAATACAGATGGGTTTCTCTAGCACGGTAGCGGTGCTTTTCCTGCCTACAGCTCCATCAGTCCCCAGGAACTGAGCGCTGGTGGTAGCCACCATGTCCCATCCTTGGCCAAAACAGCAGTCATTGCCCTGGTCAGGCCTGGTTTGGTCCAGCTTTCAAGGAGAAATAAATACAGTCAGAAGCAAGGTTGGCCAGCCAGTGGTTGTGGTGCTGAGGATGTCGGTGGTCTCGGTGATGAATAAGGGGAGGGCTTTGGGGCAGGTTGTAGGCTGGTCTGGGAGAGTTTGCTCTCCATCAGGGCTGATGAAATCAGCCCCTCCAACCTCACATTTGTCCTTGCTCGTGCCTGCACCCACGCTCGGTGCCGGTATTGACTCACACCCTTTCCAAACAGCCTAGTTAAGCAGTTGTGTCCTGGCTTAGTTAGGTATTTCCACAGAAACCCATAACATGCTCTTCCTGGCTGAGTGTTCAGTTCTTGTTCAGCTTAATCACGGTCCTTACCCATCCCTTCCTTTGCATTGCCAGGTGGAGTGGCTGAGGAATGAGGATGTCATCGATCCCACGCAGGACACCAACTTCCTGATCACCATCGATCACAACCTCATCATCAAGCAGGCCCGGCTCTTGGACACTGCTAATTACACCTGCATGGCCAAGAACATCGTGGCCAAGCGCCGGAGCACCACGGCTGCTGTCATCGTCTATGGTACCAGCCCTTGTTTTTGGGGCGGGGGCTTTTGCTGCCGGCCGTGTCTCCAAGCCAAGGGGAAATCCGGGCACTTTCTGGGAGTGGTAGGCGTGAACCCCACCAGGGCATTGCATTAAATTAGGTATAATACCCAATGTCTGCAAAACAGGAACCTCTACCAGCTTGCACAGGCTGGTAGGAGAGGTTATTGGGTGTAGGTATTTGCAAGCCTTCTCGATTGGGTACGAAGGTGGGTGGAGGTTGGACCCAGCTGGATCACTTTGACTCTCAAAGCAGCTGAAAAGCTGCATTTGGCTGAGCTTTGCTGTGAAACCAAAGATCTGCTGTGGCCAGGTGCAAAAATATTTGCAAAGTGAAAAAAGGACCAAAGCAGGCTTGAGCATATTGTGCATGGGGTGTGCGACACGAGAAGGAGTCTCATGATTTGTTTTTCATGAGGGTGAGCTGTTCCAGGGTGTCACAGAAGATTTAAGGACAGAGAGCCTGGTGAACCATAGGCTTAGCTCCAGTCCCTCCTGAAAGGGGCTCCGTTGATGTGTTAACGCTGTCTGTCTGCTCTTGCAGTGAATGGTGGCTGGTCCACCTGGTCCGAGTGGTCTCCCTGCAACAACCGCTGTGGCCGGGGCTGGCAGAAGCGTACCCGGACGTGCACCAACCCCGCACCGCTGAACGGCGGCTCCTTCTGCGATGGGCAGCCTTTCCAGAAAATCACGTGCACCACCCTCTGCCCAGGTAAGGCAGGTTCAGAAACCTTGCCCACACTGCCTGTCCCCCAGCTTGCACTATCCAACTGTGCTTCTGGTGCTCCTCAAGGAGACAGGGGCTCAGGACACCAGTCCGAAGCATCTTTCAGTCTGCCAAGACCTGAAAGAGCTGGAGATGTCTGCAGAGAAACAACTTAGCCTCCCCAGATAGCATGAGGGCTGGGTTTGCTGGGATAATAAAGGTTATCCCAGGTTGCTGCTCCCCAAATGTCTCTGGAAGCCCTGAGATGGGCATGGGCACCTTTTCTGCTGCCGGAGACCCCCCAGCACTGGGTAACGAGCCCCAAGGCCGTGCCGAGGGGTGTACCAACGTGCCTGTGTTTGGTGGCCCGCAGTGGATGGCGCGTGGACGGAGTGGAGCAAGTGGTCAGCGTGCAGCACCGAATGCACCCACTGGCGCAGCCGCGAGTGCACCGCCCCGGCCCCCCGCAACGGCGGCAAGGACTGCAGCGGCGTGCTGCTCGACTCCAAAAACTGCACCGATGGGCTCTGCCTGCAGAGTGAGTATGCGGGCAGGCGGGCAGGGAGCAGTGCTGTAGACGACTGCCATGCTCCAGTGCTTGGCCATGCTGTTGTTGGCCAGGCCTCCGAATTGACGGGGCAGGCAGCAGCGCCTCTGGCACCTGATTTTTTAAACTGCGTCTTTAACAAGGGTTTTTCAACCAGACTCACCCCTCCCAAAGCTAGTTCTCACCCGGTGGAGAGAAGGGTTTGGGGGATTTTTGGTGGGATCTAAATGTCCCACCAAGCCTTCTGAAATGGTGCTAGGTTTGGGGTCTCTGCTGAAGTAAGGCTGGTTGTGGTTAAGTGGGGGCAAGCCAGGGGGGCTTCTCCGCCCCACCACGAAACCACCTGACCTGGGGCATTGCTCAGTAGCAGCCCTGGGGCTAGCAGCAGCTAGAAAAAAACCAATAATAATAATAATAATGGTGGTGCTACACTATAAGCGGGTGCGCTGAAGGCTGAGCAGCCGATGCTGCCACCTGCTGCTGTGTGACACCACTGTCCCCTTTAATGCTGCTATGGCCAGAAATGCCCAAAAACCTGTTAGCTGGGGTTGGGCAGCTGGGGATGCACGCCCCAGGGTCTGGCCAGGCATGGGGACATCCTTGTCACCCCGCTTCTGCCCAGCTTTCTGCATTTCTCAGGGAATGATGCTGCTTTCCAGTCCCTCCTGCCAGGCTGCAGCTCCTTGTGCCCCCCAGCCTGGCTGCCCCCTCCTGCTTTTTGTTTCATCTCATCCCCATCTCACCATCACCACCTTCACCTTTTGTTTTCTAACTTTGTTTTTCCGAACAGATAAAAGAGTTCTAAGCGAACCCAAAAGCCACCGTAAGTGCTCATTTCATGGCCATTTTGTTTCTTTGCAATGCATTGCTTTGGTTTTGTTCTGTCGCATCCATGGTGTAGGGCTCCTCGGCAGCTGGGGGAAGGACACGGTGGGAAGAGGGAGCAACTAAAGCCCACCCCAAAAACTCCTGTGTACATTAAATCACGCGCTCTGCTTGAACCGATAAATACGACCCACTTTTGCACCCCTGCGCCTTGTCCCCCTTTTGCTGCCTGCAGTTCTGGGGTGCACCGCGATGCAGCCGGTGTCACACCACCAAAGCTACTCCAGGCATTGGTCACCCCCGCCATGAGGACTCTCTTCCTCGAGTTGGGGGTCCTGGGCTGCATCAGGGTTCCCGTTTCTGGCATCAGGAGAAGAGGGGGGACTTGGGGACGAGGTGACACCTCCCAGAAGTGGCATAGTCCTAACGCGGTTGAGATCGCTGGGCTTAGGACAGGGCTTCGCTCCAGTACAAAACCATTGAAACCAAGAGATGCGGGCGAGCGTGGAAGGAGGAAGGAGAGAAGGATGGGCTGAGCATGCTCAGCTGCTGCTGCTGGAGGCTTTACCATGCTCTGCCTTCCCTCTTCATCCCTCTCCTTTCTGGGCAAGTATATCCAAGCTATATGAGGCATTTAAAGATCGAGAGCCTTGTAGCAGGGGAAGGGAAGATGGGGGAGCTGTGGGGTGTCTATAGAGATGCGGTGATACTCAGTCTTTCTGGATGGATGCATAGCTCAGGTACATATATGAGAGATGCATGGATGGGCATTACATTTACTCCTCGGGGTTGTCTCTGTTAGGATGTGAGGGTTGATAGTTTTGTGAATCTGAGCTGCGCAAACGTAACGTTTCTGGGCTTCTTGGTGCTCAAGTAAAGTTGTGCACGAGCCGTGGCAAGGTGTCCGCCAAAGGTTTGAGGGGTTCAACCTCATCTCATTCTCTGGCATCGCTCTGACTTCTGGACTGCTCTTAGAAAACACCCTCCATCCTCCTGCCACAGCCTTCCAGCAGGCCCAGTACATGTCTTCCCCTTCGTGCCTATGTCCTGCATTAGCAGTAGGGTTGGGGAGCACCGGTGGGTCTTGACATGCATTTCTGGTGCTCCTTTTTTCACCACCATTTCTTTAATCTCTCCCAGTGCTGGAGGCCACAGGCGACGTGGCCCTGTATGCTGGGCTGGTGGTGGCCATTTTCGTCTTCATCGTGATCCTCATGGCTGTGGGGGTGGTGGTGTACCGGAGGAGACGCCGGGATTTTGACACGGACATCACAGACTCATCAGCTGCTCTGACCGGAGGCTTCCACCCCGTCAACTTCAAGACCTCCCGGCATGGTAAGAGCCATAACCTGTGCAGGTCCTGCTCGCCAGCTCAAGCCCAGGCAGAAAGAAAGTCAGGCTGTAGATCACAGTAGGGGGTGGCTCCCTGGTGAACCCCCAGCCCAACTTTTCTAGGGGAATATGCTGATCTTTGAAGGCTGAGGGCTCCATGGAGGTGGTCAGGTACTGATGGTGGGAGTCGGGGCAAAGCAGATGCGGTGGGGATTTGTCATAGGATCCTGCTCCTCGCTTAGTCGTGATGCCGAGCAGTTCCTTTCCAAGTGCCTGGTGGAAGGCAGATGGGTGTAGCCCAGCACTGTACCCATTGTACCTCCTGCTCACCCTCCCTTGCCGGGCGAGGAGGGCTTTTCACAGGCATCTCTTCCAGTCAAGCAGTGCTTTTATGTCCCCTCGTTTCCACTGCCATCTTCATCCCATCCGTGTTTCCTCCTCCCACAGACAACCCTCAGCTGCTGCACCCCTCGATGCAGCCGGACCTGACGGCCAGCGCAGGGGTGTACCGTGGCCCCATGTATGCCCTGCAGGACTCCTCCGACAAGATCCCCATGACCAACTCTCCCCTGCTCGACCCCCTCCCCAACCTCAAGATCAAGGTGTACAACTCCTCCACCACCTCCTCCTCGCCGGGGCTCCACGACGGGACTGACCTGCTCGGGGGGATCCCTGCCACCGGCACCTACCCAGGGGACAACACCAGGGATGGCCACTTTGCAAACATGCGGAGCAAAGCCCTGGGCTCCCAGCATCTCCTCAGCTTGCCCCGGGAGCACGGCAACAGCGCCAGCGGCACATTTGGCTACCTGGGGGGAAGGCTCACCATCCCGGGCACTGGTAAGCCCTGAGGTGGGGAGGAGGGCACGTTTGGCTGCTGAATGATCGAGGAGTTGCTCTTGTTCCAGCAGACTTGCCTGCCATGAGCGGCCCTTTGCTATCCCAAAGCTGGCTCAGGGGAGGAAGGCAGCAAGCCATTCCCAAGCCAGATTTCTCAGGCTGGAGGTCACAGCCTCCTGGGACTTTCCTGGCCAGCCCTGCTATTGATCCAGGGCCAGTGCCTTGCAAAAAGTTCCAGCCTACGGTTTTGCTTCCTAATGCAGTGGCCTGGCTCCTCCCTGCAAGCGGTGCAGGTGAGGAACATCTGGAGATGTTTCTCCTGGGCCGCTCCAGGCTGCCCTAGCTCACTGCTGTCCTTGTGCTCGCCGGCCGGAGTGGAGGGGTGGTTTCTCATTGGTGGTTTTTCCCTCGTTTTGTGACTAACGCCTGTGTGTGTCATGCTAGGGGTGAGCCTGCTGGTGCCCCACGGGGCCATCCCCCAGGGGAAGTTCTACGAGATGTACCTGGTCCTCAACAAGGCAGAGAGCACCCTGTAAGTCACACCGTGCCGCCTGCGCTTCTGCTCTTCATTGGCCGCCGTGAGGCTTTCTTTCCAACCGGTGTCCCCTCTCCCCTCCCCAGCCCACCCTCCGAAGGCACGCAGACGGTGCTGAGCCCGGCGGTGACCTGCGGACCCACCGGCTTGCTCCTGTGCCGCCCCGTCGTCCTGACCATTCCCCACTGTGCCGATGTCGGCTCCTCGGATTGGATTTATCAGCTGAAAACACAGTCCCACCAGGGAAACTGGGAGGTAAGGTGGGAACCCAGCCCCTGCAGCCAGTGAGGACCATGAGTGGTGTGGGGGACAGTCCCTAGCAAACCCCCCCCGGATGACGGGCTGACCCCCAGCCTTGATTTCCCATCTCTCCCTGTAGGAAGTTGTGACCCTGGATGAGGAGACCCTCAACACTCCCTGCTACTGCCAGCTGGAAGCCAAGTCCTGCCACATTTTGCTAGACCAGCTTGGCACCTACGTCTTCGTGGGAGAGTCCTACTCCAGGTCAGCCATCAAGAGGCTCCAGCTGGCGATTTTTGCCCCCACTGTTTGCACCTCCCTGGAGTACAGCCTCAAGGTCTACTGCTTGGAGGACACGCCAGATGCTCTGAAGGTAACATTCACCTTGCGACACCAGCGTGGGCTGCCCCTGCTTCCCGAAGCTGTTCGCGCTGGCGGCGAGATGCTGCCTGGTCCCTCTCAGGATGGCCTGGCCCCAGGGAGCAGACAACCTGATGCAACTGCCTGCAAAGTGGCCACAGTGAAATAATAAGCGTGTTTACTGCCTTCCCCATCCTTCCTCGCCCTCTCTGAAGGAAATAATGAGGGTGTTGCTTATCTCCTATACCGGGCCCCCTTTCTGCAGACATTACACGAGAGGTTTTGCTGCTGCTGGGTGGGTTTTCTCTCCCCTACGCAAAAAACACTTGCTGCTGTGATTTGCCTCGTGATTTTTCTATAGATCCTGTTATTCCTGTGTGGAGACGTGTGTCTCTCCTCCTTGGGAGGCTTGTGGCACTGATAGCATCGAGTGCAGCATGAGGAGCTCAAGTTTTGGTGCTTTGGCTGCCTGGACCACCGGTGCGGTGGCTGGTTTAATTCCCTGTGACTCGTCGCGTGGTGTCAGGATTGCTGTAGTGCCTCTAGGTGGAGATGTAGGCAGCGCTCTGGCTCCTGGATTGCATTTTTCTCCTAAGAGTTGCTAGCGTAAGAGTGGGATGGCGTTGAAAACAGATTGGGTGGCACTCTTCAAGAGTGCCGCTGAAGTGCCCGACCTTTGTGTTGGACCTTTGGATCGTCTGAGGAGTACAGAGGCATATACAGATGTTTACATGTTATCAAATTCGAGTTGTAGGTTGGGCTGTTGTGTGAGATGAGTTGGCAAGTTCTTGGACAGCGGCTGTCGGGGTGGCAAAGGCTGCTTTGCTGGGGAGGACTCCTCGTGGGCTTGTTGCTGCTGCTGGCTCCTCTTGGCTTGAACATGCTTGGCTTTGGGTATGGAGAGGGGAGAGGAGCGGCCCCTGCTCTTCTGGGTCTCACGCTGCTCGTCCCACTGCCCGCAGGAGGTGCTGGAGCTGGAGCGGACGCTGGGTGGGTACCTGCTGGAGGAGCCCAAGCCCCTGCCCTTCAAGGACAGCTACCACAACCTGCGTCTCTCCATCCATGACATCCCCCATGCGCTGTGGAGGAGCAAGCTGCTGGCCAAGTACCAGGTGAGGGGCCGAGGTGGGGGCAGCCGGGGTCCCAGGCCATCTTCAGCCAGGCACCACGGGGTTGTGAGTGCCCCGGTCTTGTCTCCAGAGTTGTCTCCCAAAGGGATGGAGGAGGAAGGGCAGAATGATTTTCATGTGGTCTTTCCTGGTGGGATGTTGTCTGTGGGGTCCCTCTGTCCCATCTCATCCCTGTGGGGTGGTTGGAGGAGGTGGGATCTCCCAAGGGAGCTGCTGGAGCCTTTGCTAAGCCCGTGCTTTGGTGGTCCGCAGGAAATCCCCTTCTATCACATCTGGAGCGGCAGCCAGCGAGCCCTGCACTGCACCTTCACGCTGGAGAGGTACAGCCAGGCCTCCACCGAGCTCACCTGCAAGATCTGCGTCCGGCAGGTGGAAGGGGAAGGGCAGATCTTCCAGCTCCACATCACGCTGGGAGAGGTGAGCGGCTGGGAGGTGGGGGGACAGCAAGGGGACGCGCTTGGGAGCTGCTCTGTTGCTGCAACGTCTCGCCCTGTCCTTCCCCTTGCAGCACGCCAGCTCCTTCGACAGCCTCCGCTCCCACCACAGTGGTGCCACCACCACCCAGCTGGGACCCTACGCCTTCAAAATCCCCCTCTCCATCCGGCAGAAGATCTGCAACAGCCTGGATGCCCCCAACTCCAGGGGAAACGACTGGAGACTTCTCGCCCAGAAGCTTTCCATGGACAGGTGGGTGTCCCCATGCTTTGCTTTCCCCTCCTGTGCCCCAGGCAGGGGGGCTTCGCTCCACGCTCCCTCCCTGCTGCAGTGCATCCAGCTAGGTTATGTCCAGCTATATAGGTCCACCCATAAATATGGATATAGCTACGCATAGTTATACCCATCTATATCCATGCATCCATCTGTGCCACACTCCTGGGTCTCTTGTCACTTTGAGCTGGCCCTTATTTATCTGGGTCCGTGCTTGGACTGTTCCTGTCTGGGTTCACCTCTGAGGACGCAAGGGAGGGTCATTTCAGCAAAACAAAGTTTGCGCTGCTTTCGCACGAATGCCAGCTCCATATAAAAATTGAAGATGAGGTCTCAAGGGCTTTGGCATTTGCGTTACGGCATTTCCATTAGGGTTCACGTTGCAAACGGGTTTGCTGCTCTGGCATCCTCCTTCCTTCCATCCCTGAAGGGCATCGTGCCAACCCGGACCCCCCTCTCTCGTTCCCCTTCATAGGTATCTGAACTACTTCGCCACCAAAGCCAGCCCCACCGGGGTGCTCCTGGACTTATGGGAAGCCGAGCACCAAGACGACGGCGATCTCAACACCCTGGCCAGTGCCTTAGAAGAGATGGGCAAGAGCGAGATGCTGGTGGTCATGGCCACGGAGGGGGACTGCTGATGATGCTCCCCGCGGCTGGCAGGCCAGGAGGACAAAATGGGGAGCGAGGCGGTGGTGGGACAGACCCGTCCCCAACGGCGGGTGGAGGCAAATCCGTCCCCGGGCAGTGGCTGAGCAAGGAAGGGCCAAGGCTGTTGCTTCTCCTTCCCTCCCCGCATCACTGTCAGCCTTAGAGACCCATCCTCAGCGTTTACAAGCAATTCAAGTGTTACGCAGCATTCCTCCTCCTCCTCCTCCTCCTCCCGGCCGTCCCCAGGGTGGCAGCTGGCAGCGCTCGTGGCGTGGGGAGGAATTAGGGCTTCTCGAGTCGGGATGGGGGCTTTCCTTCTCTTCCTTCGTTTGGGTTCCCCTCCGGTTCTCCTCCTCCTTTAATAGCATTTCTGCGTTGAAGAGATGAGTACAATCTAGGCAAACGGCTTGCTTCTGTCAAAAGCTTCAGACAGCTGAACAAGGCAAATAAGAAAGAAAAAAGGAAAAAAAAAAGTTTCCTAGGAAACGCAAATAATTTATTATCCAGATCTTTGGATAAGTCCTTTTTAAAAAAAAAAAAAAAGGAAAAAAAAAGATTTATAAACCTTTTTTTGTGTGTGAGAGCAAGAGCGTTTCTGTGGTCAGGGTGGCAGAGAGAGAGATTTAAATAAACACACTTTT